ACGCGGTATCGTATTAGGGTGCGATTACATGGAGCGTGGAAACGCGGAAAAGCGGAAAAGCGGAATAGAAAGTAACTATTATAGATTCCGCGTTTCTGTCATTTCTTCCCTCGTGCTTAAGCGGAAGACGGAATCTGCTAATTCTTTGAATGTATGCTAATAAACAGAACAGTCGTTAGAAGAAGTTATTTTAAAATGAATAATCCTGTTCGTATTTATATAATTTGATAGTTTCATAAATGTAATATTTATATTATGTACATAGAATCAATTGCATGCAATTTTGAATATTTAATATGTTGCTGACAGTGTGTCTTTAATCTCAACTTCAGCGTAGAGGTTATAATTGTTATATTATTTGCGTATTTTTAATTTAATAGTATAGATTAATTATTTAATCGTGTTCTGCATCAGAAATTGAAGTGTGGCTATTGTTCCTACATTATGTATGGTTCTTGCGCAAACGTTCTTGCATACCATTGTTTTTCAATATTTAATGAAAATCTGCATGCTATTAATGTAGACAGCAAAGCGGTTGTCACAATGCGTAAGTTACAATATTTTCATTTGGTATGTATATCATTAAATATACATATACGAGTACAGTGCAAATATATATGTATAATAATGTGTAATTATTTATATATTTGAAGAAAAAAGATATGATATTGAAGACGAGCAGGAGGGATTAGTTGATGGAGCTGAAGAGATCAATGAGATCAAAGGCACGCAGGAGACATCAGTCGAAGAAGTTGAGGAAATTGACAACTCTGACAAATTCTCTTCATCATCAAATCTGGATGAAATATTAATAGATTTAGTCCATGCACGAAGAGCCTTGTGGGACTACACGATTCCCGTGAAGAACAGGACAAAGCTGAAAAAAGATGCTCTTTGGCAAGAGATAGAAAACATACTTGGTAATAACATTTTATTTTTATAGTTGTTCATTCTTTTACATGTATATATTTGTATGCTTCTAAATATAATTAACAAGAAAATTTATGATTAATTTTGTCAATTGTAGGATCGTTAACTGTGGCGATGGCTAAACAAAAATGGAAGCAGCTGCGTGACTCATATATTAAAGCCAGAAAGAAAATGCAAGGCTATGTACGCAGCGGCTCTGGGGCTGAAGCTGCACATCCACCGAAAAGTTCGTTCTCTCATTACGAGAGAATGAGGTTTCTCGATGATACTGTATCTACAGTGCCGTACGTATTTACTCTATATCCCAGAAAACGAGAAATGATTAAGAATTCAATATTTCAATACTTGTAAATTCTATTCCTTGATCCTAATTCTTATTTCTTTATTACTAATTTTTACTAATTCAGAAAGTATATTTTATTAAACTGTTCATCAAATTATATGATTGTTTATATTGCAGGACCATCAACTCTCTGCAACACCTTTTGCCATCATCATCAACCAGTTCCGATTATTTTAAAGATTTCGATGCGAATGTCTCCGTATCAGCATCGTGTTCAACATTGGATAGTGTTGAATATGACACTAAGTCATCTGACAACCGCAGTGAGTCCAATCGCCACAGCACCTGTTCATCGCCTAAGAACAATAAAAAAAAAAGTACATTCTAATTTTATTTAATATATTTCCAACAAACAGAAGAAATCGTTTATTATTGTTCATTTGAATACTTCCTAACAATCAATTTCTGGATGTCTTTATACTTTTTCGTATAGACAGTTTTCTAAATACAATTAATGCTAATTTTGATTTGTTACGGCTTAATCTTTGACGATGTAAGCTTTCGTAAGACATTCGTATTTATGAAATTATACAAAAATTATGAAAAAGTATACAAAATAATTATAACAAGAATACATGTATTATATTTACACATATATGCTTACAGAAATATTTGACCAGCATGCCCAGCTTCAAGAAACATTCTATGAAGTATTAAGCAAATCATCACAGCGTGAAAGAGACACAGTTGACAGCTTTCTGGAAGTACTGGGTGATTTATTGCGTCATTTGCCTTACATAAAGAGAAGAAATTTCCAAAAGAAAATTTTGGATCTCGCGATAACAAAAGAAGACAAGATGGTCAACGAGAAGAACGTGTAATAATGCTCTCACAAGTAAACCTACCCAAGTGCCACCCGCCGATCTTAATGAAACTTGGCATACTTTCAAAACACCGAAAAATATTGGATACGTATTTTTTTATACGTCCCCATAAAGCGTTTTAGAGGTACAAACCACCCCCACAATATAAAAATTAACTCTTTTTGTGATTAATAAATAATAAATGAAGTAAATAAATTATCATTCCATTTTTCGTCCAACA